ACAGTAAACTCAGGAAAGACAGTAGAATAATAAGTGCTGTTCTCCAATACTTTTTAGCATTTTAATCAGAGACAGGCAGTAACTGCTTATATTCACTCATTTACATGCAATTAAAGGGGAATTCCACCGATTTTTCAAAATTTGTGTACAATTCAGTAACTGAGATTGAAGTTATTCAGAGTGATTTGATGTGGAATGCTCCACTTTGGAGACTCGGATTTCTTTACAGTGGTGATAGGAACCACACACTATGTAAAACTACCAGTGAACCTACAGATGTTTTTATAATGTTGATGATGGTAAAATAGCTGTAAACCTGAAAATATAAGTTTTCTTTAGGGGCTGTTTTGCCATGCATGTACCTCTCCAGCACCAGAGGATCAGACATCAGCCACTGTATTCATAACCCTTTCATGTAATAACCTTCTGTGAGGGAGCTTTTAGAGGCATTAAACTCTTCAGATGTCTGGTTCCTATTATTCTATTATCTATAACCTGTTCCACATAAAACCACTCTGGATGTCTGTTTACAGCTTAACTATTTAACTATGCAGAATTGTGAAAAATCGGTGGAATTCCCCTTTAAGTAAGCAAGTTTCAGTTCACATTTAGTTGCTAATTAGCATTTTATTTTAGGCCAAAATGATCCAAAAAGAGAAGAACAGACTTCAGTTCCTGTGCTGAGATGCTGAATGTATTCAGTTTTCGACCTTGTATTTTTGCCCAGTTAGTGTTTGGTGCTACACAGTAAGTACTTCAGTGTTTAGCTGTGGTTGTATGCTAACAATGTAGCAATCAATCTCTGCTTGCTTTAAAGGGAAATTACATCGATTTCCAAAATTTCTGCATAATTAAATGTATAAGATGTAAACAGAGTCATTCAGAGTATTTTGGTGTAAAATGCTCCGTTCTAGAGAAACTTACTGAGTCAGAGCTGTTTACAGTGGCGGTGATAGGAACCAGACGTCCACCTCTGAACGTCACTACATTATATTATACTTTTAAAAGCCGTTCTTGGCGGAGCTGTACATGCAGGGCGTTGTGAGGCAAAATAGTCCCCTACGAAAATGTATTTTTCCAGATTTTCCACTCTTTTCCCATCATCAACGTTATATATAAAAACTCAGAAGACACGTGTAGGTTCGCTTGTGGTTTTGGATAGTAAATAAAATCGCTAAACATGGCGAGCCCTGGTTCCTATCACCACCACTGTAAAGAAAATAGGTTGGTAAGCTTCTTTACAGTTAACGACTTAGTTTACATCTCTGTGGCTGAAGTATACAGAATTTTTGAAAAATCGGTGGAATTCCCCTTTAACATACAGCCGTTCGTGCTAAAGGAGGCGAGGATCCAACAAAGAAGGAATAAACCGACAAGAAAAGTATAATAACGACAGAAATCAGAAAGCTCTGCCACTATCTGACAGAACACTGCTAGTATGTGAATCGGCACGAGTGTTAATCTCACTTTCGCTCTGAACTTTTAGTTCTGGAGCCGTTTGTAGTTCCCTCAGTTCTCTCGGGTCTCTCAGGTTCTGTCACGTCGTAAATCACAGACTGCTTAATGAAATGCAACGGTAGAGCTACTTACCGATATTTGAGCTCCATGAAGCGCAGTTTGAAATGTGAACAGTGTGAAAATGCGCAGAGGAGGACGAGACGGAGCCATTAAATGTGCAAACGTGCAGTTGGTTTTCACATTTGAAGTCTTCAGCAGCCTGAATGACTTCCTGGTGCGGCTACAGTGAAGCCTTGTTTCCTCACAGCAGGATAGCGCTGAGGAGGTGGGAGGCTTCACATGATCATTTTACTCCTTCTCAAGTATATCTGTGAGAAATAAGCTACTTCCATCCTTCACATTAATACGGAGCTTCTATTTTTAATAAGGCGTGGGCACAGATTACTATGTTGAGGCCACGAGGTACTAAATTGAGACCAGAAATTACTATACTGAAGCCACGGGTTACGACATTGAGGACATAAACTACTATATTTAGGCCAGGAGTTACTATACTGAGGCCACCAATATACTATAGCAATACCGCAAACTAATATTTTGAGGCCACGAGTTAATGTATCGAGGCCACGATTTACTAAATTATGGCCACATATTAATATATTGAGGCCACTAGTTACTATATAAAGGCCACAAATTAATATACCGAGGCCACAAATTACTATGTTGAGGCCCCGAGTTACTAGATTGAGGCCACCTGTTACTATATTTAATCCACAAATTACTGTATTGAGGCCACAAGTTACTATATTGAGGCCTTAATTTACTATATTGAGGCTATAGATTCATATATTGAAGCCACAAATTAATATATTGAGGCCATGAATTAATATATCGAGGCCACAAATTATTATACTGAAGCCACCAATTAACATATTGAGGCAACAAGTTAAGAGAAACTTAACTCATGTCCTCAATATATTAATCTGTGGCCACACCTTATTAAATAATAATTACCATGTTACCTTAGGGGATCTGTACATTAAGATCCTAATTTCTTTATTTTTAAATTTAATTTCGTTCTCCTGTTTTGGTTCAGCTTCTGTACTGTTTCTCATTTTTGACAGTCACTTCATGTAAAGAGCCCCTACGATTTGATAGAATGTAGAGGGACAACAATCTGCTAAGTGTTTTTCAACCTTAAAAGTATTACTTAAAGGTTCATTGTGGACATGATGCATGAGGCATTGTAGCATAAGACAAAAAATGTTTTTATTTTGAAGTTCCTTCATAATATAAAAGGTGAATTAACATCAGGGCTTTGACACAGATCTACAGCTGTATGCAACAGTTTGAACACCCCTGATTAAATGATGTTTTGTTGATTTTCTAAATGATCCTCTACACAAAAAACAAATTATGAATTTTTGCACATTTTACTGCACGATTTCCATGTGCTGAGTTAAAAACACATACAATATATAATGTGCCATAACTTTTGCGCAGACCACATTTTATTTTACTTTTTCAGCAAAAAACAACAACAAAAATGAACAATAATTGTGCATTAAAATGAGTGTTCTCTGTAGACGATGTATACTTATTCTCATTTAAACAATCAACAAAACATGCCATTTGACCAGAGGCTCCCAAAGCTTTTGCATATGATTGCAGAAAGCTTCTGATTCTGATCTATTAATAGTCATTTCTTGATATAAAATGATATTTTAGCTTTTTGATCAGTGAGATTTGGTCATCACTTTTAAAATATGAAGTGTTCTGGATAATAATATTATTATAATTTCATTCTTGATGATTTTCAGCTTTTTTTTTGGTATTAAAAGGGTTAAAGCTCCACTACCCTGCTAACAATGTATGTGTGTGCATGTTCAAAACTTGTATAGCAAGTTAATGATAAAGTGTATATAATTTATTATCCTATTCATGCAGATATGTGGACTGTAAGGTGGCCTTTTTGGGTTAAGGTTGACCTACTGACCCTTCATAGTCAACATCCAGGTCAGATGATGAGATAAAAGTATTGCAATGAGTTACATGCATGACAAAGTGCTGATAAAATGAAAAGGGACACATGAGAGTGAGTCTCTGATAGTGTTCAGGCAGTGCTGTTTTCAGAGCAGTTCACCCCACCACACTACTCAGAGCTTCATTCCAAGAACGTCCATTCAAAACAGAGGATACAGTCAAACAAAGCTTTTATTTAAAAGTTTAAACAATATAAATAGCTTTTGAAAGGTAAAAGCCATTGCAAGAGACAAAGTAAATGAGATATATTTTCAAATAACCCCCCATTTTATCTGCATGTACATTCTGAAGTTACAGAAATAAACTCCTCTTTTTCTGTCCTTTACTTTTTAATTCTGAATGCAGGCAAACGTGAGAGCAAACAGTCAGAGTGTTGAGAATGGATCTATTAAGGTAAGATTACAGTAAGGTTACAGTAACAGCATTACGTTTTCTCCAGAGGTCTGTCACAACAGGTGCATAATGACCAGCTTCCTTTCAGGACGTTAAATGTTACATGAGACTCGGTGTCCAAAATATAATTAATTCCAGATTCTTTACATTTTGTCAGAACAAAATCTCCATTTTTGCCGTTTTTTAGATTTTGGCATAATTCAAAAGTGCCTTTTGTCCTTTACATTGTGTCAAAATTTCATGATGAAAGGACCAAAAGATATGGCCCAAACTTACTCGGAAAAAAATCTGGTTCCATTGACTTACATTAAAAGTAAAGTATGCTTTTTCCTTCTCCTGTAAAGTTTTATATATATATATATATATATATATATATACACACATGACTATATGTCACTGTCCACTCAGTCTGTAAGAAACGCAGCCTTTAACTATACACATATCAATAGTCCAGCTGAATTCTACTTTAGACAAAGTGGAAAACAAAGTAAAATGGAAAATTTGTAATAAAAAATTCGCTTAAAATCAACCAACATGGCCAGCTACAAAACCTACCCACCTGAAGGAGTCAGCAGAGGAGAACCAGCCCCCGTTTGTCTGTCAGCTAGTGTTAGCCCTCCAAATTTCCTTGCTAGGGTCAAAGGTATTGATTATGTTTGCCAGATGTCCTACTCTATGACTTATGCACAGCACTATAATATCACATCTATCAATATTTACTTTGTTCACTCTTTACTTTTGTGTGCCTACTGTCACTTAAACTTTCAATCTTCCAATCTTAAACCCATAGTAGAGATTGGAAGAGATAAAATATAAGATAACCTAAGGCTGTAAGATAACCTTGCATGAGGAAGGAGAAAGTCAAATGAAAATACCATCCCAGAGCCCGGACCTCAACATCACTGAGTATGTTTGGGATGAGAAGCAGATGCCAAACCAACTTCTAAGACTGAACTTTGGAGGTGTGTCTGCAGATTTCTTTGAGAAACTGAATGTGAGTCTCCTGAAAAGAATGAAAGCTGTAATAAAGGTAAAGAGTGGACACAAGGGTGATCTCTGACTTTTGCATATATAATTAGTGAAATTAAATTTCTCGGTCTGTGATCGACAAACGTAACAGGAGCAATAGGAAAGTTGCCGTACTTTCTCAGTGCAAAACACCTAAAGCCATGTGAATCTGAAATGTTAAAAAAAAGCTCATGTATACAAACAACCTGGTAGGACAGAGTAATTTTCTTCCATATAAAGACATCCAGATTAAATAAACAATCAAAAATTATACAATCAATTTTTATCTGTACATAACATCTAAAGAGATATAAAAAGACCAGAAGAAAAATAGAAGTGGAATATAAGAAGCCTTTTCAGTGGAGAGAAAGTCCATTGTGAAATCAGAGTATTGGTGATGGTCAGAGGCCGCCAAAGGGTTTTCTGCCCCCAGTCACAGCTACCGATTCTGAAGCACTTTGTGATATTGCAGGACGTGTCCTGACCTCAGTGATGTCCCTCATACGGTCAGCTGCTCATTGAGTTTGATGGTGACGGTTTTGACCTCAGTGTACTCCACTAGTGCGTACTCCCCACTGCACAGAGAACAGCAGCGCTTAGTTAAAGCAATAGTTTTGTGAACAATCCAACAAATGGATACAAATGCAACATATTTGCCTTAATAACTCATGGCCATGCATCAGGAGCTTGTTCCCACACCTTACTAAATCATGGCCATGCATCAGGATCTCGTTCCCACGACTTAGTAAGGGAAGTGGAAGAGAGAGAATTAAGTCAAGGCTATGACTTAGTAAGGTGTGGGAATGATATAATTAAGCCTTGACCACAGCTTTTTAAAGCATGAGCTCGTTCCACCGAGTTGTGGCCCCTTAATCATCTCATTCCCACGGCTTACTAGGTCATGGCCATGCATTAGGATCTCATTCCCACGGCTTACTAAATCATGGCCATGCATCAGGATCTCATTCCCATGCTTTACTAAGTCATGGCCACAACTTAATTATCTCATTCCCACTACTTACTAAGTCATGGCCTTGCATCAGGATCTCGTTCCCATGCCTTACTAAGTCATGGCCACACATCAGGATCTTGTTCCCATGCCTTAATAACTCATGGCCATGCATCAGGATTTTGTTCCCTTGTCTTACTAAATTGTTTCCATGCATCAGGATCTCGTTCCCATGCCTTAATAACTCATGGCCATGCATCAGGAGCTTGTTCCCACACCTTACTAAATCATGGCCATGCATCAGGATCTCGTTCCCATGCCTTACCAAGTCATGGCCATGCATTAGGATCTCATTCCCACACCTTAATAAATCATGGCCATGCATTAGGATCTCCTTCACATGCCTTACTAAGTCATGGCCACACATTAGGATCTCGTTCCCATGCCTTAATAACTCATGGCCATGCATCAGGATCTCGTTCACATGCCTTACTAAGTCATGGCCATGCATTAGGATCTCATTCCCACACCTTAATAAATCATGGCAATGCATTAAGATCTCGTTCCCACGTCTTACTAAGTCATGGCCCTGCATCTTGTTCCCACACATAAACATGCCTTGGCCATGCATTATTTTAATTTATATGGGATTTCACCAGCGGGGCTCCATAATCAAATGGTCAGTTTTTAAACAGAGTAATTCAGAATGGTTTAATGTGTTCTAAAGTCAGAAGTGTTCACAGTAGTGGTGATAGGAACCAGATGAAGACTTTGATGCCTCTAAAAACTACATCACGTAAAACTTTAATATTACATAGTTATGAAAAAGGCTGTCTGATGTCTGAAACATTGTTTTATGATACTTCTGTGAAGGTTTTGGCCTAATGTATCATTTTAAACCTATTCATGGTGGAGAGGTATATGTAGGATGTTCTAAGGCAAAATCTAGTAAATAAAATTTGTGTTACAATTAGGCAAAACTTTCACAACACACTGGAATTTCATTCAACAATTTGCAATGGTTTGAGGCAGGTGTGTGATGATTTAGGTGTGTAGTTCACATGATGCTAATTGGTGGGGTATAAGCTTCCATTAGTTGTTAGCTACACTAGCCTTGTAGCTCCAGTGCAACAGTAAAGAAGCAGAGACATAAACATGTCTTGGCTGATTGACTATATTTGGGGTGGGGAGGGGGGGATTATGTACATTTGTGTCAGTGAGCTGATAAACAGATTGTACTCACAGCTCTCGTCCGTTTCCTGACATCTTATAACCCCCAAATGGAGCTTGAGCATGAAGGGCATTGTAGCAGTTCACCCTGACAAAAGGAGAAAAAGTCAGCGTTAAAAACACATGATTTATATTTAGATGATATAATGATGTACAGTCATCATAACAGTGGCTTACAATCTTTGACAGAACTGTAATTATGTCATATTATGTTGCAATATCTCAAATTAGGCTAAACAGTTAATAAATAACGCTGTAACAAGACTGAGCAAGTTACTTCAGCTGACCTGCCATATAACACAGCACAGCAATAAGAATGAGTTCAGTTTCTTATTGATTAAACCGTGACTGTTTTGGGAAAATGATGGTGAGTTTATGGCAGACATTGTGCTGCTATGACAATAAGTCCAGCAGTAAATCCAAACATAAACAACCAGCTGTATGTAGTGCCCCCTACTGGCTATTCTATGAAACTAGTGAGGCTCTAGAAGGACAGACACTGGTATTACAGCACTGTTCTCCTACATTCCTAGAGAAAGCGAGTACACTTCCCCTACAGGGAGCACATGTTGCATATTTTAATACACAATTACTGTCTATTCAACATATTGTTAATGTGGCCTGTGCAAAAGTTATGGCAAGTTTCATATTTTATGTTTAGTTTTTTTCCAATATGTTACACTCAGCGATTAAATATAAATTGTGCACAAAAAACGTGCAGAAAATATCTGTGTGTTCTCTATAGAGGATGTGTTCGCTTATTTTCACTTAGAAAATCAACAACATAACAGAATGGAGTTATAATAAAATTAATATCCTGAATGAAGTTATAATGAAGTTAATATCCAGAATAACTTATAATAAAATTAATATTCAGAATGAAGTTATTATGAAATTAATATCCAGAATGAAGTTATAATAAAATTAATGTCCAAAATGGAGCTATAATAAAATTAATATCCTGAATGAAGTTATAATGAAATTAATATCTAGAATAAGTTATAATAAAATTAATATCCCGAATGAAGTTATAATAAAATTAGTATCCAGAATGGAGTTATAATAAAATTAATATCAGAATTAAGTTATAATAAAGTTAATATCCAGAATAAGTTATAATAAAGTTAGTATCAGAATGAAGTTATAATCAAGTTAATATCTTGAATGGAGCTATAATAAAGTTAATATGCAAAATAAAGTTATAATGAAATTAATATCCCAAATGAAGTTGTAATAAAGTTAATATTCCAAATGGATAATATTAATATCCAGAATCAAGTTATAATAAAGTTAATATCTAGAATGAAGTTATAAGAAATTAATATCCAGAATAAATTAATAAGTGCCTCATATTTTAAAAAAATGGTTATAAATCTTCATGCAGATAATATGAAACGATACTGATAATATACTAAATATGAGTATTTCTCACTTAATGATTTCATAGTGTCCCCAAAAAAAGTAAATTTTAAATAAAACTGAATTTTTTTCTTGTGTGCAAGTTACAGTATTTGAATCAAATCAAACCAAATAAATAAACTAAATGAATCCCACAGTTTAAGCGGTTAAACAGTACAGCTTACATCACACTCATGTATCTAACACAATAAAGAATGTGAGAATATAATTATAAATACATCCGTCAATCACTCAGTGAAGCTTCATTAAGGCTGCATTATATAAGATACAGATATACTGTCTCACCACACAGTCCCAGCCTCCAGCGCCGAGGACACGCTCACTGCCCGCTCCACACTGCGGGTGAACACGGCGGCCGCCAGGCCGTAGTGCGTACTATTGGCCCTCTCTATCACCTCCTCCTGACTTTTAAACTTCATGATGCACTGAACCGGCCCGAAGATCTACAACATTACACAATATTAATAAGCATTCTTTTACATGACCGTAACATTTATAGAGCTGGATATTACTGAAATAGAATAAATACAATATAATCAGTCAACAGAATGAATAATTAAGAACCTTAAGCAATATGTAGGCAGATATCTTGGGAGTAAACTGTAAATGATTGCTTAGATGCATTTAGTTAAATACAGTTTATTAAATACCCAAGAAAGGTGGGAAGGTTGTGCGTACACATACTTACATGTTCTGACCACTAGAGGGCAGAACAGTCACATACTACAACATACAGCCCATTCGCTGGGTCATACCGTAAAGTACAGTCTAGCAGACGTCTACCAAAGTTAGTTATTTCAAAGGTGTGAATCTGTACAATTTAACTGCATAAAATAGGTTTTATATATTTTTATGGACGTATTAGGCCTTAACAAATCTAATTTAATACGAGCTTCCTCATACACGTTGGCCAATTAACAGCAATAATTGTGTCGGGCTCACAGTTTCCAGTAGGAATTAAATGTAAGGCCCTTACTGTCATTTATAACTACTCAACAGTAGTTGGCACATATATGCATATGCTTTGGGCGTGTCCCATTGTAGATGTGCTGGTCCTGTTCAAGATGTTCATGATGCTCTATAACATTTTGAGAAAATACATAATGATATATAATGATCTATGAACTTTCCTTCTACTCAATGACTCTGCACAATCACTTTCTATCCATCAAAAAAGAATTTTCTTTACAGCAGCTTAAAAGACAATTTGCAAACTATGGTTCGAACCGAACCCTCCACTCCTGCTCGTCTTATCTGGTTTGCTTATCTTTGGAACACTGAACTTCAGAAAGGTACGACGGCTAAGATAAAACAAGAACAACTGTATCTTGGTCAAACACTGGAAAGAACTGTTCAAATTAATGAGAGATTAATGATCTCTGTAAACCAATTAAGCATTTGTGGAAACTATTTCTTACTTTAGTCTATTACTTAATTTCCCTTTTCATGTGGATGTCTGTATGTGTGCAACATTGACCATCATTACTATCATATTTTCTGTTTTACTACTGTTTTACCATCATCAATATTCCATATAAAAACTCAGAAGACTTATGTAGGTTCACTGGTGGTTTTAAATAAAATAGCTATGTTTGTGCTGTAGACATGGCGATTATGGGCCATTTCATATCAAACCATGCTGAGTGACTTGTTTGAATGTAAATGAATTAATTATGATGAATTTATGAAAAATTGATGGGTTTGCCCTTTAAATAATAACTAATAACTATATACTATAACACTATAATAAAATATAATTTTATTACTGTTGTGAATGACCTTGTGGGTACATCTGGGGCTGTGTGGTTATGAAGCTTACTGATGTGGATTTCTTTACAGTGGTGGTGATAGGAACCAGGGGTCGCCATGTCTACAACACAAATATACCCCTTCTGAGTTTTTATATGGAATATTGATGATAGTAAAATAGTGACAAAAAGTTTTCTTTTGGGACTATATTGACGTACAACACCCTGCATGTATCTCTCCGCCATGAATAGATTAAAATATCCGTTTTATGCCAAAACGGTCATAAAACATCACAACATTACAATTTTTAAAAAATCATGATAGCTTTCTGTCACGTAGCTTTTAGAGGCATTAAACTCTTCAGACGCCTGGTTCCTATCACCACCACTGTGAACGGTTCTGTAAGTTTCTCTAGAATGTAGCATTTCATACCAAACCACTCTGAATGTCCTGAATCCTAATTATGGATTCATTATGCAACAATTTGATGAATTGGTGGATTCATCCCCTATAAAGTGCATAAGCAAAGGCATATTTGCCAAACGCTACACTAATAACTTTTTTGTTCTGTCTGTTCATTGCAGCCTGACTCTGCTCTCTCTTAGTCTTTTAAGCATTTGCATATATCTTTATGTTTTTAGCTGTGAGTCTTTTTAGCTGTTTAACTTTCAAATAAGGTAAAAACAAATAAGGCTTCTGATTTAGTTTGAAGTAATTAGTATGATTATCAGTGGAATATATCACAATAGAAAAAATCATAGCAGGACAAATTGCTGTTGTTGCTAATGATTTTAAAAAGCCCATATCATGGAAAAAACTAATTTCCCTCACTTTTCTTTAAATAAAGGAGTTTGTATGTGAACATTACTAAAGTTTCAAAACGTACAATCACTGCCCTGACAGTCCATACATGGAAATAAAGCCACAAAAACAGTCTATTTGCATTCATTGAGTGTGTTTACATGCACTCAATAATCCGATCATAATCGGATTTCTGCAGTTATCAGATAATTCAAATGGCCACAATACAGAACAACCAATCAGAACAGAGCTCATTTATTGTATAACGCTCTTAACAAAGACAGACGGATTAATTCTGAGAGATGAAGAAAGGTTAGAAAATGTTTTTGGTACCTAAAACCACACAAATGTTATGACTGGCCCTCAAGGGAAAAATATGATACAAGAAAAATGTAGGACAGGCCCTTTAATGGTATAAATGTACTACACAGGTAAAAGTGAACACAGTTTGCAAGCTGTGAATATGAGGATGTCTGTCTTTAGACGCCTTTGCTATTTATTCAAAGTAATCTACAGGGAACACGAGCATTACCTCCTCCTTCGCGAGCCGCATGTGGTCTCTGACGTCAGAAAAGACGGTGGGCTGGATGAACAGGCTTTTATCCTGCACTGCGCAACCCCCACACTCCAGCTTAGCTCCTTCCTTCTTCCCACTCTCCATCAGCTCCATGATCTTCTCAAACTGCTGCTGATCAATCTGCACATGCATCGGAGTGAGGGATATGGAAATGACTGAGGACTGGAGGAATTATCAGGTAAATCCTGTACGATATACAGGACACAGCTCCACTCAAGCAATCTCACAATTCTAAAAGTTGTGTTCACTGTACACTGACATTAAAACCCTTGTTTCTACACTCACTGTCCATTTTATCAGCTCCCCTGCCCATATAGGAGCACTGTGTAGTTCTACAGTTACAGACTGTAGTCCATCTGTTTCTCTGCATACCTAGACACCCAGTTCTTCAATGGTTAGGACACCCATAGGACCACCACAGAGCAGGTATTATATGGGTGGTGGATCATTCTCAGCACTGCAGTGACACTGACATGGTGGTGGTGTATTAGTGTGTGTTGTGCTGGTGCGAGTGAATCAGACACAGCAGTGCTGCTGGAGTTTTTAAACACCTCAGTGTCACTGCTGGACTGAGAATAGTCCACCAACCAAAAATATCCAGCGTCCTGTGACCACTGATGAAGGACTAGAGGATGACCAACACAAACTGTGCAGCAGCAGATGAGCTATTGTCTCTGACTTTACATCTACAAGGTGGACCAAGAAGGTAGGACTGTCTAATAGAGTGGACAGTGAGTGGAGATACAAGGAGGTCATTTAAATGTTAAGGCTGCTCGATGTATGTCCAAAAGTTTGTAGACACCAGCTTTTCTTCTGAAATGAAGGGTGTTGATAGAGACTTTGCTGCAGTAACAGCCTCTACTCTTCTGGGAAGACTTTTGGATGTTGGAACATTGCTGTGAGGATTTGATTGAGCATTAGTGAGGTCAGGTACTAATGTTGGATGGTCAGTTCTGGATCACTCCAGCTCATCCCAAAGGTATTGAATGGAGCTCCATCACTCCAAAGCATGCAGTTCCACTGCTCCACAGCCCAATGCTGGGGGGGATTTATACCTCTGTAGCCCACACTTGGCATTGGGCCTGGTGACCTTAGGCTCATGTGCATGTGCTCCAGAGAGTCCCATTGTGTTGGTCAATGCTTTTCTATTCCTTTATAGAGATTATACAAGCTGTGTGAGTGTCAGCAATAGGTGCTCCTTAAAGAAGCTGAATTCACTGTCTAGAAAATGCTAATTGGTGGTGTATAAATTTCTATTACTTGCTATCTACATTAGCCTTATAGCTCCAGAAACAAACTTCAGACACCAAACATGTCTTGGCCGATCGACTACATTTTCGTACGGTGGAAATTTTTGGTTGAAGCATTGCAGGAATATCATACCTGAGGTCCGTGTGAAGTCTGGGGGTCCATGGGGTCTCCAGCTACGATCTTCTTAGCACTTTCAACACTGAGCCTCACAAACTCGTCATACACACTCTCCTCTACGAACACACGGGACGCAGCAGTGCAGCACTGACCCTGATTATAGAACGCCCCCTTCTGGGCCTCCTGCACTGCTAACTGCACTGCACACAAACACATATGATCCGAGTGGTCAGTTACAACTGCATCTACAATACTAAGCATTTTTAATACTGGATTACATACAGTGAGGGGAAACAAGTAATCCAACACTTTTGTCTTTGTTACTTAATACGCATACAATGTTACACATATAATGTATTTTGACCGTGTACAAAAATACAGAAACTGAATCAAATACACAAAAAAAGAAACTGAAATGAAAATAAGAAAAATTACATTCACTTCAAAAATATGGTGTTTTTGCACTGCTGTGTTTTTCATTCAAAAGTCAGAGCTGTCGGATAGGTTTTGGAATTTGGATTTTGAGGTTTTCAGACCAAGTCAGACATCTTTATGGGACTCAGGAGTGATGCTGAATTGGATTTTATATTGCTGGACAGTGAGTTCTGTTGGTTGTTTGCTAGGTTTGCTAGCTAGCTACCGAAAATAGAATTTCATTTTACCCTTGTAACTGTAAAGTTGTTACACAACGTTAGCTGGCGAATTCTTTAATATTAGCCATTTTTTTGTTTGCTTCAGAGTTTGTTCTCCGTTTGGGAAACTTGTAATTGTGAAGTTGTTTTAACTGTACAACTAATGTTAGCTGGCTAATTAGCTACTGATTCCTTGGCTAACGGTGCCTTTTCTGCTTCAGAGTTTGTTCTCTGTTTGGGAAATTTGCAATTGTGAAGCTGTTTTAGCTGTATAGCTAACATTAGCAGGCTAATTCTTTAATATTAGCTGATTACTTTCCTAACAGTGTCTTTTTTGCTTCAGAGTTTCCCAGATAGCAGACAGTTCTGGGCCGATTCTGGCTTAAACCCACAAGTGTTGGTTGACTTCCGGATAGATATTAGGCATGTGGCCCACAAGTGGGCCAGATAAATTTTGCTAACTGGGTTGTTCTTTGTTTGGGAAACTTGTGATCATGAAGTTGTTTTAGCTATGTAACTATCATTAGCTGGCTAATTCATTTATATTAGCCAATTAGTTTGCTAACGGTTTTTGTCTTTTTTTGAGTTCATTGTCTATTGTTTGATAAACAAGGCTAGGCATTATTATCAGATATTTTTCAATGCTGCTGTCTGTCCACTTCATAAACACAACCAGTATAAAATACTGATAAGGAAGGGGGGCGCAGCACAACCTATGGTCCAAAATGTTTTCTGCACGTGTTCTTCCGCACATTGTATTTTCACCAGAGAGGTCGCCAATCCCCCAAATTTGCCAAACTTACAAAGTGCAGCTTTAAGAAATAATACGTTTTTTGCAGCATTGAGGTTCAATTTTTGGCCCAGTGCTCTTAGCCAAGCTTCTTCAAGGCTATGAGGTTCCCTTTTGTCGCACTCACATTTCCAAAATGTTCCATAAATTTTCACTGAGATTCAAGTCAGCAGATTCAGCAAGAACCTTCAGCTTTTTTGCAAACCAATATTGTCTTGTTAAAACACCCATCTTCTTTGTTCTTTACCAGTTTAATTCAAATTCTCCTCTAATATGTCCTGGTACAACTGGACAACTACCCTTGACATTGGACCTCAAATACGCAATTTAGCTTGAGGCAAATATTATTCGTTGAATAGTTGGTGAATTCAAAGAGATTGTAGACTATTAACCATCATTAGCTGAAATATGACTCCATAGCTGAATTTTGTCATCTGTTCCCTCTACTGTAACAAAGTCTGTGCTTGAAATCAACCCGAAATCAAAGAATCAAAATTCCTGTTTTTCTGTAGTCATCCATCAAAATGTAATTATTTTTGTCCTGCCTCTGAAATATCTTTGGATTTTTGATCACATCACTGTGCATCAGCAGGCAGGAAAAATAACAGTAAAAGTATCATGTTTCACCTCCCCCCTCTGCTATATCATGCCATACTATCTATCGTTAACACTCCTTTCTTGGTATTCAGTTTTGAATAAAAGACTGAGAGTGCACACATTACAGGTAGATCTGCCGGCCCCTTTTGTTTCAGTGCAGGACTGTAAAAACCACATCACTCACAGTCTGAGTCAGCAAACACAATGCAGGGGTTCTTCCCTCCCAGCTCCAGAGTCACTCTTTTCAGATTGCTTTTAGCCGCCGCCTCTTTGATCAGCTGACCCACCTAAACACAAAGAGGGCGATGGACAATTGAGAGAGAGAAAGTGGTTTAAATCAATGGCAATCTTAGAACAGTTTAGACTGGTTTCAATTTTATAACAGTTTAAGTCAATGACAACGTTTGAACAGTTTAACCCATTGGCAATATTAGTTTAAGACAATAGTATTAGAACAGTTTAGGTCAATGGCAATATTTTAACAGTTTGAATGAATGGCAATGTTAGAATACTTTAAGTCAGTGACCATGTCAGCACAGTTTAAGTTAATGGTAGTGAGAATAGTTTAAGTCAATGGTAGTATTAGAACAGTTTAAGTCAATGGCATTGTTAAAGCAGTTTAAGTCAGTGGCCATGTTAGAACAGCTTAAGTCAAGGGTGGTTAGAACAGTTTAAATCAATAGGATTGTTAGAACAGTTTAAATCAATAGGATTGTTAGAACAGTTTAAATCAATGGCAATATTTTAACAGTATACATTAAAGGCAATGTTAAAATAGTTAGAGTCAGTGACCAGTTTAAGAACAGTTTAAGTTAATGGTAATGAGAACAGTTTAAGTCAATGGCAGTGTTAAAACAGTTTTAAGCCGATGGCTTAAACAGCTTAATTCAATGGCAATGTTAAAGCAGTTTAAGTCAATGGTATTGCCAGAAGAGTTTAAGTCAATGGGATTGTTAGAACAGTTTAAGTCAATGGCAGTATTAGAGCAATTTAAGTCATTGGGATTGTTAGAAGAGTTTAAGTCAATGATATTGTTGGAAGAGTTTAAGTCAATTGCATTAATACCATTTAAGTCAATTGTATTGTTAGACCAGTTTAAGTCAATGGTATTGTTAGAACAGTTAAAGTCAATGGCATTGTTAGGAGAGTTTAAGTCAATGATATTGTTAGAACTGTTTAAGTCAATTGTATTGTTAGAAGAGTTAAGTCAATGGCATTGTTAATACCGTTTAAGGTATGGTTAGAACAGTTGACAACAATAGCAATATGAGAAAGTTTACTTTAGTAATTTGGTGTCTTTCTTCTCCTTTAACAGGCTCCTTACCTCAGTGGAGCCAGTGAAGGCCACTTTGTCAATGCCCATATGGCTGGCTATGGCTGCTCCTGCTGTCGGGCCAAACCCGGGCACAATATTCACCACCCCAGGAGGAAAACCAGCCTGCAAGACACAAAAAGAACAACACAGACCAAGAGTTTAGCTAACAATGACCAGGGATGATAAAATAGAAAAACCCAATTACTTAAGACCACAGCTTTCTATAGAGGCCAAGAGTAAACTGATTAATGGGCTACAAGTGATGTAATGAGGTCAAAACAAAAACAGCCCATGGGATGAGCTGCAGCCTGCCAGTGTGAAAGGTAATACACACAAAGTTTTCTTTCCAAGCCTCAGGTTTTAGCTCTAATTGAAGGTGTTTGTGAAATAAAGAATCATTTACGGAACTGAACTGATTAAACAAAATAGGAGAGTTTTAAAATATGGCACTGTAAAAATTACAGGAGCCAAAAAAGGTTGGAGTATAGAACAATCATGTTTGGTGCATTACAGAATCTTTTAATGGATGGAGGAATGTAAGTTTCCATCTTAATCTCTTTTTGCTGTATCTGTCCCACATGGGCGATTTTCAGAGACAATGGTCCAGACCCATTTCTTATTTTTACCACTACCCCTTGTTTTCGAGTGTCACCTTGCCCTTTGGAACTGAGTTATAAGGGGTAGTGGTTGAAATCTTCCCCTACGAAATGGGACCCTCAAATAAAAAGAACATTACTTCATTAACAGCTACTAGCGCTGCTCTGGAGGCAACCCTGCCAGTCTGCAGTGATAGCAGAGGAGGGCAAAGTTCAGCAACCTCACTGCTGGGCTTTAGTTACATTTAGGGCATCATATGCCTTCAAAGAGGGGGGATGCGATAATTGTTTATCATTGTCCACCGCTAATTCTTCAGTGATATGAAGCTGAAGTCAGCTATTCTCCAGCTTCTCGTCAGAATTTTCCCGTTTGACCTTAAATGGAGCAGCAGTTATAATCTGGTGTTTCAGGCATCAGAACTGCTGGACTGTTTAAAGTGAAACAGGAAATTTAGCTAGCTAGCTACCGAGACATTAACATACTATTCGCAATTCTTCTGCTTGTTATGAAGAAAAGGACCAAAATACACTGAAACGACATTAAACTAAGATAATACAATGGATATTGTAACTTTTAACTGAGAAAATACTCACGTTTGTGGGTTTCTGTGGTCACTTACACAGCCATCTTAGCTGTCATAACACTCCGTTTGGAGTGTGCTTCTGAAAAACCTCTGTTTGGAGGGCCATGTAGCCCTAATACTTCACCCTACCCCTCTATCTCAACAAAAATTGGGACACTCTACCCTCTAGCTGTGAACGGAGGGCTAAGGGCTAAGTGGTAGGGGCAAGAGGTGTAATGGGATTGGGCCAGCAGAGGTCCAGAGAAACAGAGAAATTTAGCTCCATGACTTGGTGAAAATAAGAGTAATCAACTTAAAACTTTACGGCCACTCTGCAACAGCACATGACTTTTTATTGTAGTCTAGATAGAGATTTTCAAAATCTGACCTCTAAAGCACTGTAGGTGGTGGAGAAATATTAGAATGAAACCAAACTCCACGTTTTGACTGTCCATGTTGTTAGTGTCATAATCACGTGATCTTAAAGCGTCATTGCCAAGCAGTGAAGTTGACTAGTCAAGTCTGTACAACCCCTGCTTCCCACTTACTTCTTTTGTCAGTGCTTTTTCATTCAGTGTCTTTTCTATTCTTTTCTAAGCAGCGCATGGAAATGAATTAATATTGCTGTCTGTGTAAAACAACCGTATGCTTCAAATGCATATGACTCTACACCAGTTATCAGCTTTTCCTAGAACCATACTCACCCAAAACAACAAGTGTATGACATTTCCCCGAACGCAGTGCACTCATCCAGTAACTACAGTGTGTGGCCTCTGCAGAAACCTTGTAGCTTCAATTATGTATAGTTTTTCTTACTTTTCTTTCCTACGGTTGGTTGGTGGTCTAATGGATTATTCATGGATCTAAATATTTGGTGCACTGAAACATTTCTCAGTCATCAGCCTGACAGCTGTTTTTCTTTGCTCCTAGCTTTTTTTTAGGCTGTTTTCTATGTTGTATTTGTGGGCTCAACACGGATCAGATTACAGCACAGTGGCCTCAGGTGAACCATGAACAATGCGTGGCATAATTTATAGGCAGATATTTCTATTTACCTTCCTCTATTTGCTCAATCAGAAAGCGAGGTGATGCTGACTCATTTAACCCTTTAAACTCTATGGATGGGTTTCTCAGTCAGGGATTAAGCCTAGTCTTAGACTATTTTTTCCTTTCTATAGAGAATCTCTATTCAGAATGCTGTGTAGTCCAGGATTAGGCTTAATTCCTGTCCAGAAAACCGACCCTAATGTGTCAGCAAAATAACTTATATAATAGTTGTATTTATATACAACACAACATAATACAATATGCATACAATACAATATATACATTGTACATATTAGTTTCATAATTTCTCAGTAATTTATAGTAGTTATTGGAATATAAATTAGCATTAATAACTGAATAATGAACCTGCAGGTTAAGGAATTAAAGTGATAGTACAGGGAAGAATCAAATATCCAGTTTTCCCCCCTTATCCCAAATGTAGTCAATCAGCCAAGACATGTTTGGTGTCTGAAGTTTCTGTAGTTTTGCACTGGAGCTACAAGGCTAATGCAGCTAACTGTAAGGAATGAAATCTTATACCCCACCAAAGAGTGTTGTGCAAACTGTATGCCTGTGTAGACAAAAGCACAGACAAAAGTCAGGCTTCATGAAGGTTTGTATCCATGTTTATAGATAACAGTGTGTCATATAGTGTCAGAAACCACATAAGCAAGTCTATTAGATATTATTTAACATCTCAGTATGGTTTTAGGCGAGTATGTGATGAGTGAAGTATGCAATTTGTACAGTGCGAACTGCTGGATTTTTTAATCTACCTGTAGTCACTCTTACCTCCTTGATAAGTGCTCCTACATGCAGTGCTGTTAGGGGCGTCTGCTCGGCCGGTTTGATGACCACTGTGTTTCCGCAGCACAAGGCCGGCGCTATCTTCCACACGAACATCAGCAGAGGAAAGTTCCACTACAAACCCAAGACAGAGTTAAAACTACTAACTGAATATGGATACAGCAATAATTTACTCTACTTTATTCAGTTTAGATGTACAGCGATGATGAACATTAATAAACATTTCTGTAAATGAACCGTGGTACAGCACAGATACACATATGTATTTGGCTGTTTAAACAGAAATCTTTTTTGAGCTAATAGCAAAAAATGCTACATTACAGAAGCCCTAACTGTTATTATGAAAAGTGCAAAATAAATATAATGATGCTACTAGCAGCTTTTATCACTTACATCAGTTTCAAATAAATTTTTATGTACTTTTAGAAAAAAATCTCAGATTAAGCTGAGGACAATATCAGCCTGAGAAGTATGAGATATATATCGACTAGATTTAACATAATTTCACTTGGCAAGACCATTTTATGCAGTATTTCTCTTCAATATAGGCCTACAAAATGTAGTCTCATATACATTTAATTCCTTATGGTGATGCAGGTTTGTTGTGACAGTAACCATTACTGCTTCACACATTTAACACAACACTGAGAGTGACAATAGTCATCATGTTTAACCCTTTAAATGGCCAGGACCCACTGGCAGGCCCAAAGATTTAATACACACTTGTATAACCCAAGAATAGCTCAGCCAGTTTGCATTGAAGTCCCTGTAGTTACTGAATAATAAGTATTAGTATGTAATAAGCCTGAGATTTTAAGGGGTAAAAGTTTTTTTACAGGCTAGTATGTCAGGATAGAGCAGTTTTATACTTACGCACGGTGGCTTTATAGCAGAGTCACTCTCTTTATGGTGCTAGAACATTAGACACAGCTTCTATTGCTACATTCTTGTCAATCTAATTACATAATGTGTAATGTAATTTAATTCTACTATTGCAGCCCTTAATGATGGCCTAATCCCATTTAACCCCTCTCCCCAACCACTAAACCCTACCCCTCTGTTTTGCACGTTCATGTCTAGGGGGTAGGGTGTCCTGGTTTTAGTTGAGATAGAGGGGTAGGGCGAAGTGTTAGAGCTACATGGAGGTTTTTCAGAGACACTCCAAACAGAAAAAAAGAAAAAAAAAAAACAGCAAGATGGCGGCGCAAGCGACCAAAGAAAGCCACAAATGTGAGTATTTTCTCTGATTACGATAACCATTGTACTGTCTTAGTTTGATGTAGTTTCAATGTATTATGATCCTTTGCTTCATAATCAGCATTAAAAAATCACTAGTAGTATGCTAATGTCTTGGTAGCAAAATTTAGCTAGCTAAACTTCCCATTCCACCTTAAAAGGTGCAGCAGTTCTGACCATTTAAGGTGGAACGGGATAATTCGAACAAGAAGCTTGTAACTCAGTTCCAAGGGGCAAAATGACACTAAGAAATGGGATTGGGCTGATGTGTTCATCACGATAAATATATGATTAACTGTGAAGATTTTGTCTCTCAGGACCATTTTTCTGGGCCCAGATTAGGCCTAGCCTAAGATTAAACTGTAGTGTCAGTGTTGAAGCCCTTTTAGTCTAGGATTAAGCTTAATTTGGGTCTGAAAAAGAAAATCAGAATGCAGGTAATTCTAGAAAAGCTCCACTCGCCATGACACCAGTCATAAAATATGCATATGAATTACATGTTCACTGCAGAAACGCTATTAACTTTTACAGCTCTTGGGATGCAATCAGCGAAATGATCACTTTTTTGGATTGTTTGTGTGCTGCGAGAGAGAGAGAGCTTCCTGTTTTTCTTTCTCGGTGAGTCACACTCGTTCTGTGCCAGCAGAGCTTTCGGTAATGACCCGCAGTCCTACAGTATGAAGGGCAGTTTCATGATGTAATCTCTCATTTCAGTTTCCCTGTGTTTGTAGGTGACAGCTGGTGATGCAGTCCGTTTGGACATTTCTTTCCTCCGAATGGAAGTAAACGTGCGAGTTTTTTGTTGTTGTTTGCCCCCTCCACCATTAAAGTCAGTAACACGATCTGCAGTAGATCAGCATCTGAGCCGGGCAAGAAAATCGTCTAACAAAAGCTTTCATTAGCCTGAATGCGTTTGTTAATTATTATCAAACCCAAAGATCAATGCAGTGCTGGGTTCGCAGCTTTCATTAAACACATTCCCAAGAAATGCCCTGTTACAAGAAGTGTGTGCTCACTCAGGATTAAGCTTTAGGGACGCAGGATTAAACAGAGGTCGAGGTTAAGATTGAATTACTAGTGAATGTGTGGCATTTTGTTTCATCGTCACAGTACATCTGACCTGGCAACTCCAAACATGAGGTAGAGATGTTTGAGGTTTATGTAGAAGTAGTTTTAAGTCTATTAAAGGTCTATTAAAAGTCCTGTACTGTGCACTGTAAAACGTGATAAATCTGCTCAACTTAAAATGATATAGTAACTGATTACATGGCTTTTCTTGAGTTGACTCAACTTGAGGACACCAGAGTTCACATAACTCAAACTCAGACATTGTATTTTAGACACATCACCCACCCCTAATTTGTGTTGTACACCCTCAGTAAAACAGTTCAGAACTGTCAGTGGGGCAGTACCCCTTCTTGTCACTGGGGTGATTATCTCAAGGGTTCATCTCAGTACCTTTAGTCAGGGAACATAATTGTACCATAATCCATTGAAATTATATTTTCTAAGTTGTACTGACTCCACACACCCCGTCTCGTCTCCAGGCTTTTTATTTTATTGATCTGTTTTAAAACATTAGGTTATGAAAAGATACAAATATGTACTTTTTCACCTTATTTAAGGTACATAATTGGACCTTAAAACCACTGTTGTACCTTTGAGGGAACATTTCCATTGTTTGTACCTTGATGAACGAAAAATGTACCTGCATAGAACCTTTATTTCTAACAGTGTAGACATCACAACCCCTGGTTCCTATCACCGCCACTGTAGATAAATCTGAGTCTGTAAGTTTCTCTACAATGAACCATTTCACACCAAACCACTCTGAATGACTTTGTCTATGACTGAACAATTGAATTATGCAGAACTTTTAAAAAAATCAGTGGAACTCTCCTTTAAACAGAATTTTATATAATATATGGAGTATTAATCCAATGTTGTGAACTAGATCTGATGGTGTGTTTGTGTAGTGGCATTGTCTTCTATAGCCAACGCCTGTCGAGATTCAGTTACAGATCAGTCTAGGAAACGCCCAGATACACACACACACACACACACACACACACACACATATGCACCCACTATCACCACCATCAAACACACACACACACATACACAGGATTAAGTCTCTTCAGAATACTTCAAATAACGGCAGTTGGTTTGTTTGATATGATTAACTCCATCATGTTTTGTCTGTAGGTTTGCAAAGAGTTCTGCAGTTTACACCAGGCTGCATGCTGAGCTGTTAGAATGTGCTTATAATCTCTTTCCCTGTTAACTTCATCAAACTGCCTATATACACTGTTAGAAATAAAGGTTCTGTGCAGGTAAATTTTTCATTCATCAAGGTACAAACAATGTAAATGTTCCCATAACCTAATGATTTAAAACAGAACAATAAAATAAAAGCCTGGAGACGAGACGGGGCATGTGGAGTCAATACAGCTTAGAAAATACAATTTCAGTGGATTATGGTACAGTTATGTTCCCTGACTAAAGGTACTGAGATGACATCTTGAGTGGACCAACACAGTGACAAGAGGGGAACTGCCCCAGTGACAGTTTCATACCTTTATATCTAAAGTATAGAGCAGGTGTGAAAACTTTTACACTGAAAGTGCCACAATACAATCTTGCAAGCTGTGAAAAGTTGTGAAGGTTTTAGAGTAAATATCAGCAGTGGGTGACGTCACATTACACCATAATTAACCCCTTAAACCTTGGCCTTATTAATCAGTTATTGACCTTAAAACCATATCACTCAGTAACTACTGCAAATTATTATAACTATTTGATACCTTCTACGAATCATTCAACAACTACTAAAGTTATTTGGTAACTAATGCAAATTATTCAGTAACTACTAAAATCAATCTCTAATTACTATGAATTACACAGTAACTACTATAAATTATTCATTATTATGTAGCGCCAAAAAGGATTCTTCTATTGTTACGATGTCAAGCCTGTAACAATAGAAGAACCCTTTTTGGTGCTATATAGAACCCTTTTCAGAAAGGTTTTATAAAGAACCATATAAAACACACTATCCATCAATCTGAAGAACTCTTTCACAATGCAAAGAACCTTTTACTCATGCAAAGGGTTCTTTGAGTTTTCATGGTTTTATATAGAACCATTTCTTTACCAAAGAACCTAAACCATCATTTTTAAGAGTGTAGTCAATGAATAATTTATAATAATTACTGCATAATTCATAATAATTAGAGATTGATTTGTAGTAGTTACTGAATAATTTGCATTAGTTACCAAATAATTTCCAAATAAATTCCTGTAATTATGCAAAGGGTTCTTTGAGTGTTCATGGTTCTATATAGATAATTTTTTCTTTACTAAAGAACCCTTGAAGAACCAATTTTAAGTGATTCAGTAACTACTATAAATGATGTAGTAACTACTATGAATTATTCCGTTTCTAATACAAATTAATCACTAATTACTATGAAATATTAGTTACTATTATAAATGATTCCCCAATTACTGTGAACTATTAGTAACTACTATAAATTATTACCTAATTACTCTGAATTATTCAGTAACTACTGTAATTATTTCCCAGTTACTATGAATTATGAGTAAGTACTATAAATGTTTCCCTAATTACTGTGAATTATTAGTAACTACTATATATTTTTCCCCAATTACTGTGAATTATTAGTAGGTACTATAAATTCCTCCCCAATTACTGCAAATTATTCAGTAACTACTAAAAATTCTTCCCCAATTACTATGAATTATTAGTGACTTTTATAAATTATTCCCCATAATTTATGCTAATTATTAGTAACTACTACAAATTATTCCACAATTACTGTGAATTATTAGTAGCAACTATAAATGATTCCCCAATTAATATAAATTATTCATTGACTACTACAAATGACTTACTAATCCCTAAGTAAATCAGTAACTGCTACAAATTATTTAGTTATTAGCATATTTTTTTTGGTTACTGCTATGAGTTATTCTGTAACTACTACAAATTATTTCATAACTACTTTGAATTGTTTGATAATTTTATTAATTATCATGTAGCCACTACAAATTAATCACTAATGTCTATGAATTATTCACTAACTAGTATACATTATCTGGTCACTAGTAAGAATTATTCAATAACTACTACAAATTATTTGATAAAAGTTAAAATTCATTCAATATGTATTATTATTCAGTAAATACTATGAAATGTTCCCTAACAACTACAAACTGTTTGTACAGAAAATATTCTACAAAATAGCTGCTACAAATGATTTAATATAATTTATTCAGAAACGTCTTCAGATAATTTAGTAAATACTATGAACTATTCAGTCACTACTGTTAATTACTGGTTAACTGCTATAAACTATTTAGTAACTACGATGTATCACTTGATAACTACTATGAAACTAATATGTACGTCTGAAATGTGTACCACATTAGGATTAAGGGGTTAAGGGCTGTTCAGAGTCGGCCTAGTCTTTCCATTTGCCTAACGAAAACACCTCCTACACATTCCTGTCCACTGCGTACAGATAAGATTGTGACTGTCCGCACTGTCGGAAGGCTGAGCGACACGTGTGCGGCATCATGGTGAGAAAGAGGAGAGTCACACATACTTACTGGAATGATTGCTCCACACACTCCGACGGGCTCGTGTTTGGTGAAGCACATGAAGTTATCATCTGATGGGAAATGAAAATGAGGAATGAGTGAGCATAGCAACCGCACTGAGCATTCCTTTCATACGCAATCTTTGTTTCTCTGGCAAGCTTTTGGATGTGGTCACCAAAACCAAAGATCAAGGACAAAAGCGTGAAGAAAACCCTTACAGTGTTCTTTTCAACGGGCCACACAAAGCAGTGCCCAGGAAGCAGGTATACGTTCTAGCATCTTTTATTTTTTTTACGAGGAGACGCTGTCAAAGGAAGGCATGACGAGGTGTGGGCAGGGGTTCAAACTCTTGGCTTGCATGCACACCTTTGTTTGCCATCCACGGTCTCCCCTTTCCCTTATTCTCAGGTATCCTGCCAGCGGTAATGCTTCATCACATCTCTTGCTAGCTGGACCTCTGTTTTTCGTGAAGGCTTTGGCGAATGTCACTCAGATTGAGTGATTTACCGCTTCCTCCTTCACATGAGCCCCAGGTAAAACTCAATACGGCAAACTAAGGATTGTGTGGTCAACATGTGCTACAAAGGCCGGCTGTCATTTAGAACTGTTGGTCAACATATCCCTTAAAAAGTTCATTCATTAGTTATCTATCAAATACATATATAGATAGATAAACAGACACATTATATGTCTTAAAACTTCCAGACACTCCTCCTAACGACTGAATTCAGCCAATTTAAGGTGCCCCCATTTGCTGACCAAGTTGATTAACTGCCGACATACAGCATAATCCCCATAAAAAAATATTGACCCACAGAATGTGGGTCTGAAGCAGCCACGCATGAGCCTAACTTCACCATGATCAATGCCAAGCGTGGGCTAGAGGGGTATAAAACTTTCCAGCATTGCGGAACTCCTAGCATTTTGTGGATGGAGCTCCATCCAATACCTTTAGGATGAGTTGGAGTGATCCAGAACTGACCATCCAACATCAGTACCTGACCTCACTAATGCTCTTGTGACTGAATGCAATCAAATCCTCACAGCAATGTTCCAACATCTAGTGTAAAGGCTGTTAATGCAGCAAAGTCTCTATTAATACCCTTCATTTCAGAAGAAATGCTAGGTGTGTATTTGTCTACAAATACTGTCCTAAATGCTGACAAAAAGGGTTCTTTGCACAATGTCATATAAGAACCCCTTATGGTTCCTCAAAGAACTTTCAATGGATGATTGTTTGGAGAACCATTTCTGTAACCGAGATATGTTAGTGTGAAGTTTGAAGACTCTCCACATAATGTAAAGGCTTTACTGGTATAGAACCTTTATGTTACTCTTTAGGCCATTTAAAAGTTGGTCATATTCACATATCTTTGTTTCAGATATGGTTCTTGAGGGAACCAAAAGTGGTTCTACAATGGCATAGCTCATTTTTTTAAAGAGTGTAGAGAAAGAGAACAGCACTGCAATGCATATTACAAATACATACAAATACATATTTACATATTATTCGCCCATTCAGCCTACAGCAGTTTAGCCCCACCCACAAGTTACAAAGAATGAGGTTATAAGGACTGGCTTTCAATTGAGGCACATGATAGGGCAGCCAATCAGAATATAGAGCTCATTTGTGCATATATATATATATATATATATATATATATATATATATATATATATATATATATATCAACCTTGAAGGCACAGTGACCAATGGAATATTCTAGAACAAACTTCTAGATGGCATAAACATGCTGTGTTGTGCTGGCTTTGTAATTGTAAAGTATTTTTGAAAATCACTGCTTGTCTTTGCATCATGATTCATTCGCTGCGGTTGGAAGAAAATCTCTTATATCTATATATCTATTTTTGTTGTTTTTCAGTTTTTGACATAATTTGAAAATACTTGTTGCCTTTTACATAGTTTGTAAATTTCATGACGAATGGACCAAAAGACGTGGCCCAGAATGACTTGGAAAAATGTCTGGTTCTATTGACTTACATCAAAAGTGAAGTATGTTTTTTCCTTTTCCTGTAAAGTTACCATTTTGGAGATACAAGGTTTTCTTCCGACAGCAGCAAATTGATGGATAACTGGAGTACATTTAATTTGTGAAATTCTGTCTAGAGTCCTGTAGAGGCAGCTCTATCGAATGAACAGGCACAACTTAAAACCAAGTGAAAGCAAGCAGTGCTGTTTAAGTGCACCTACTGACTTCTTACTGACTGAAGCAAATGAATCAAACTGTGTAATCAAAGCTAATACACTTTAGTGAAGTGTAAACGAGCTAATAATCAAAACGAACATTCTTCAGGTCAGTGTAAACGAACCAGCCCCCCATCAGAGAACACTAAAGCCGTTCTGTCCTCCTGTGCTGCCTTCTCTTCTGGGAGAACATCCCACCCACACATGCATGACATTTCAGGTGTCACCCCCGCACGGATATGAAGGAGCCACGCCTGTTAATCTGCTAAAGCAGACCTCTCAGCGGCGTGACCTTCTCGAGTTTCAGCGCACGGCGGGATTACAGACACGGTGACTCCCTTCCCACAATGCTCATCTCTGCCTGGCATCGGCCGCCGGCCCTTTTCTACTGAACTCCCCGATCTGCTTATCAAAGGTTACATTTACATGGCTGATGAGTGGCTGAGGGGGGGACACACACTGAGCCGGTTTAAAGATCAAGCGTGTTTTCATTACATAGTAAACTGTTAAGCCCCGTTTGATTTACAGTAGATTTCACTGGAGGAGAAATATGACATTAAACTGAAGAAAAAGCAGCACTGAATTCAGATCTTTGTAATAATTTCCACATGAATAAAATATTATACTATTAAAATAATACATTATAACTTACTTAGATATGTTAATAAGTAGATGTAAATCTTTGAATTGAAGTAAATTCAGTGCATTATTTTTTCATATTTCATATTGTACACATAAATACAGTTAGTTATAGTTAACCTCCTAATGTAATTTGTTTGTAATTTTTTAAAATTATTTTTAGAAATTCTTTCAATTTAAAGGGTCCATATCATGGAAAACCACAAATTTCTCACTGTGCTGTACGTAGACATTGTGAAAGTTTCAAATTGTAGCATTCACTTCTCATTCCATACAATCCATATATGGAAACTGAGCTGCAAAAGCAGCCTTTTAGAATTTATTGTTTTTGTGATGTCACAAAAAACAAGACTTTTACATATATCTGCCCATTCAGCCTACAGTTTAGCCCCACCCACAAGTTACAAAGAATAAAGTTATAAGGAGTGTTTCAGCACAGACTGCTTTCAAATGAAGCACGATACAGGGCAGCCAACGAGAACAGAGCTCATTTACATATATATATCAGTCTTAAAGTCACAGAGACAGAAACTGTTTGACTTTAAAGGATAAGGAAAAGTTGCAAATGATAATGTTAAAATAAATCGGGACTGTTTTGATACATAAAACCACATAAAAGTGGACTAGGAAAAAATAAAATGCAAGAATAATGTAGGACATGGGCCCTTTAATGTCTGTCCATTAAGCCCTTATTTGAATTTATTTAAATGCGTTAGTTTGTTTATTATTGCCTGTATTGTATCTTTATGAGCTCTATTTGTGTGACTGAGGAATAGGCCTTGCCGATAAATCATTCCAAATCAATAAAGTAATTGTTTCGGAACGCCAAGAGTCGACAGAGTCGTCCCTGTCGGGATTGAGCGGCTTCAGCCAGGTGCTGATCCGCTGCTCCTCCAGCCCGGCCGCGGTCCTCGCGGTTGCACCTCAGCGATTAGGATCAGAGCCTCTTCCTTTTCCCTTTGTGCTCGGGGCCCTTTCGTCTTTTAACGCTTTATTTGAATCTAATCAGGAGGAAAGAGGGTAGCTTGTTTTGTCTATTGGATCTCCTGGAGTGACAGGAACACTGGCGGAGAGGAAGAGCTAGAGCGGGGGATGAGATACCACCCAGGACTAAAGGGATCAGCTCATCAGCTCGTCTCTCTGGACGCCAGTGCAGGAGATGCAACTGTTTTACTGCACTGAGAGATAACTGGGCTGTAAATCTCCGACCTCACAACGATTCGATTACGTCATGAAATAAAATTTCAGCACCGTTCAGTTCAGTTTAATTAGATTATTTTGGTACTACGGTTCTGTCAAAGTCAGAGACAACCCTTCAATTATTTCATTTCAAGTCAAAACTCCAAAGTCCAGACCTTAATATCACTGAATGTGGGATTATTTGGATGATGAGAAGCTGAAAATGCAAAACCAACTTCTAAGACTGAACTTTTGAACTGTAATTTTCTGTTAAATATTTGTTTTCTGCTTTTTTCTGATGTTGAAAAAAATGCACTGAATGGCTGTTTTGACTAGAAATTAAATAAATAAGGGGGGGGTCTCTGACTTTTGCACAGTACTGCATATAGTGGAATACAGGCAATAGAAACTATAAACCAATATTTGTTTAATTTTAACATTTGAAAATAGCCTGAGTATTTAATTTCTGCCAAAACAATGAGTGCATATTTCATTGCATGTTATTACAGACAGTTATAACATTAAAAACAATTTAATAACCTGCAGAATGATGCGTTATCACACATGGATGAATTTCTATACTCGGACAAACATCTGATATGAAGTAAACAGACATGGTATGCGCCATTATGCATACGTCTAATTGCTCACTCACCCACTGGCAGGGTTTTGCCATGGATCTTATCAGCCCAGCCTGCGTAGTATCTCAGCGTTTTGATACTTCCATCCAGATCAATAAAGAACGACTGCAGGAAGGGTTTCCCACTGTCCATCGACTCCATAGTCTGGAAAAGGAATGAGTTTGTTAAGTACAGAATAGTCAGAATCATCTACAGACACTTTATCATCAACATAAAGAAGTGAAAGAATTCTGTCAACATTTTAAAGGTCAGTCAGTTGAACTTTAAGGGAATAAATGTCACATTTTATCATGTTTCAGTATTTCTAGTGAGGCAAAACTGAAATGCATGCTCATACAGTCATATGCAAAAGTTTGCACCTCCTGGTTAAATAATGTTTTGCTGATTTTGTGAGTGAAAATAAGTGAACACACCCTCAGAAAAACACACTAGTGCACACTTTTATGCACAGATAGTGTTTAGTTTCTGAATTTAACATACTGGAAGCAAAAACTACACACAATGTTTTTGCTATAAGATAGCAATATTGAGATTGAGATAACGAGTTAATTACTTTGTGATCTCAAGATAGAAACGTTGTTATCTTGAGATCACAAGATAATTAGCTCATTAACTGACGATAACAAGATAACTAACTCATTATTTCAAGATAACAACTTTTTACACATGTCTAGAGAGGCCAAGAGGTAATTATAATTTCCCGGATTGTTATCTGGGGGTAACAAGTTAATTATCTTCTGATCTCAAGACAACAACTTTATTATCTCATGATCACAAGATAATTAATTCATTATCTCAATATAACAAGATAATTAACTCATTATTTCAAGATAATAACTTTTTTAGAGAAGACCAGAGAGGCCATGAGGTAGTTCTAATTTTCTGGATTGTTATCTTGAGATAATGAGTTAATTATCTTGTGATCTCAAGATAACAACTTTGTTATCCTGAGACCATACGATAATTAACTGATTATCGTAAGAAAACAAGATTGCTAACTTATTATTTCAAGATAAAAACTTTTTACAGAAGTCCAGAGAGGCCATTAGGTGGTTCTAATTTTCTGGATTGTTATCTTGAGATTGTTATCTTGAGATAACGAGTTAATCAACTTTGTTATCTTGAGATCACATGATAATTAACTCATTATTTCAAGATAACAACTTTTTATGGAAGTCCAAAGAAGCCAAGAGGTAGTTGTAATTTCCTGGATTGTTATCTTGAGATAATGAGTTAATTATCTTGTGATCTCAAGATGACAACTTTGTTATCTTGAGATCACAAGATAATTAACTCATTATCTCAAGATAACAATCCAGAAATTATAACTACCTCATGGCCTCTCTGGCTTTCTGTAAAATCCAGCAAAAAGATAAAAATTGTCCACTAAAATATGCAAAAAATTAAGAATATCAACAAAACATGTATTCTGGCTAAGGGTGTCCAAACTTCTGCATGCGACTGTATTTGGGAATTTCCACTAAACTCTTGGACAATGTCAAAAACCCTACAGCGCAACTTTTATTTTATATGCATCAGAAACGCCAAGCATTTAATACGGTCCAGAAATGAAACAAATACAATTAGAGTAAACAGAAGCAGCCCAAACAGAAGAAAAGTGTAGCTGGCTGGCAGCGGTCATCCTCTGGAGAGCCACTGCGCTGGGGTCGAACATGGTGGTTACTGAAGTACGATAAAGAACAACATAGTCTAAACATCAAGTGATCAATCTGCCCTCTGTTCATTATCTGGAGTAACAAAGCATCCACCAAATCTGTCACAGTGAAACGGACTGCTGGGCTCATGACTGCATTTCTGTTCATCCAGCTCCGCAAACCCTGGGAGAGTCAATCAGCACACTGGCACCCTCGCGGACCCTCGACTTAACAGACCCGCTTTAAATCTGATCCCGGTTACAGCAGCCCCTGATCCGACTGCAGAGGAGCGCGCTGATGTGTTGATAAGGAAAAACATCTGATCCAAATTACTTTTACCTATTTCTTGTTGTTTTTTCCCTAACAGTAATTGGAGTTACTGTAATTAGCTCTACTCCGCTACGGAATCACAGCGCATGTTTGCAATTAGCCGGCTTAAAATACTGCTCCTGCATCTGTAACATTTCATTCACAAGTACCAGCTCTTATATGATCTGGCAGCATGATTGTGTAATAGGCAATGCAAACGTAGCTTAAATAAATAAATGCATAAAAACAGAAATAAGAAGTGCAGTCATATGCAAAAGTTTGAACAAAGTCTGCGGATTTAAGTGAAAATTAGTTCTCTGTAGGGAACCTAAAAGTTGCATTTTTCTGCCAGTTTATGTGCACAATTTCTATTTATCTGTGGAGTTTAGCATAAAAATATACAGATATATAAAATGTGCCATAAATTCTGCACAGGCCACTCTGTTTATCACTTTCCCAGTATGTTAAATTCAGGAAATAAACAGCAATTGTGCATTAAAAACACCTTATTTTCACTTCAAATCAACAAACACTGATTTTCGCCAGGGGAGCCAAAACTTTTGCACACGGCGACAGGAAAGTGCATGCATTAGCAGCGTGAGAAAGAATTTTGCTCATGATTTCATCCTGCCTTCCTGCCAGTGCCATTTCCAAAATTTGAAGCTGGCTGCTTTCTACAACAAGTTGCACAACAGTTGGCAAAATTCTTGAACATAATAAAAGCTTCTCGCTGATGAATATGAATATCTTCATAACAGAGCTTTAAAACTGATGAACGCATTAGAGAAACCACAGATATATCCCTAGTCTGCACTGTACTAATGAACGTTGAAGTGTTTAAACTGAAAATAAGTGCCCATTCTTTGTGACTGTCCATTTTTTCTCGTCCTCTATTGGAGGCAGCTTCAGATTTAGCCTCGGTGCCAATACTAACACCTGCAGCAGCGTCTGACGGATGCGCTCAGACGGGCGTAAAGAGGGCCGGGGAGATTAGCCTACTGTTTCCACTTACGGCCAGCACGATCCGGTCCCTCTCCAGCAGCTCCGCCAGTCTGTGCAGCAATCGGCCACGGCTGGACACGTCCATCCTTCGCCACGGAGAGCCCCTCTTCATCGCTGCCTTCGCGGCCTCCACTGCTTTGTCCACGTCAGCCTGGGAAAGACAGAGCTCAGGCTATGGCTTGTTCACAGGCGTCAATGAAGAAAGAGCATCACTTTCTACATGTGGAAGCTCAACATTTTCAGCTGTTTCAATAGAACGATGTTTAGTAATAATGTTATCACATTGTTATACATCTTGTTTTAACTTAAAACAGCAAGTGCCCTGAAAAAAAAAAGTGGTGGACTGAATTAAAATGATTCAACACAATTTTGCCTTTTGGTTTATTTACTTTTGGGTAGAACTGAGTAGTTCTGTGATATACGTAATTCAGCTAATTCAGTGCAGCACTTTTCAGTGTAAGTGAGATTATCATCAAATGTTGAGTCTATTGAAATCAGAGGAATTTCACTGATTTTTCAACATTTTCATAGTTCAATTACATGTAAACAATGCCGCTCAGAGTGGTTTGGTGTGAAATGCTCCATTCTAGAGAAACATGAGCCAGAATTGTTTACAGTGGTGGTGATAGGAACCAGACGTCCACCTCTAAAAGTATCCTCATAGAAAGTTATTACATCAAATGGTTATGAATGATATTAGTTATGCGCCTGATGACTGAGACACTGTTTTATGATTGTTTTGAGAATGTTTTGGCCAAATATTTAGTTTTTGAAATCCAGGAATATATATATATATATATATATATATATATATATATGCGTAGCATCGCTGTCTAAAGAAACAGTATCTCCAAAATAGTAACTTTACAGGAGAAGACAAAAACACTCTTACCTTTCAATGTAATTCAACATAAAGAGATTTTATTCCAAGTATTATTAGAGCATTTCTATTGATCCATTCATCATGAAATTCTCACATAACATAAAGGACATCTGGTGTGTTGAAATAGAAAATAAAAATCGACAAAAATGGAGATACATATATATATGTACATATTGCTGTTGGAACAAAACCTTGTATCTCCAAAATGAGAACTTTACAGAAGAAGGAAAAAACATACTTCACTTTTAATGTAATGTAACGTTTAATGAACCAAACGTTTTCCAGGTCATTTTGATCCATTTCTTTTGGTCCATTCATCATGAAATTTACACGTAAATTTACAATGTAAATGGCAACAGGTACTTTTAAATTATGTCAAAAACTGAAAAGATATGGAGGTTTACTTTCAACACCAGTGAAATATATACACATATACTGATGAAGACACATATATGTTTATTAGTTACTTTGGGCAGATAATATATTTGCATCATAACCATCAGGACCCCTGGTTTCTATCACCACCACTGTAAAGAAAGAAGAGTCTGAAAGTTTCTCTACAATGAACCACTTCACACCAAACCACTCTGAATGACTCTCGACCACTGAATTATATAGAAATTTTGGAAAATCGGTGGAATTCCCCTTTAAGTGATGCCAAAACAAGCTCATATTATGATGGATCTGGGATGTAAATCTATGTAGGCTACACAAAAGGCAAGACAGCTGTTCCTTACACTGTTCACACATTTAACAGCCTCAGGGTTCATTATATTCTCATTAAAGAAGAGAAAGTAAAAACTCCACATCTTACTTTATCCGCCTCCTCCACGTCACAGATCTTTTCACCTGTTGCGGGGTTGAAGGTGGGGAAAGTCTTTCCTTTCACTGAGTTCTGCCATTCGTTGTTGATAAAAAGCTGCACATTTGAGAAAGATGAATGAATCAGCCTGTGAACACGTGCTGCGAGTTTAAGCCGTTGTACTAGTAACTCAGCTCTGCTTTACTGACTGGACAGAACAGGACAGCAGCTCAGCGTCTCACTTGTACGCGCGTAAACCTGCCGTTACGCAGAGCTCCACTGCTGCTCCGGGTAATTACAGCCAAGCGAAGTCCAGTAAAGTCCGGCGGATGCTCTTACCTTGGTGTGCTTGATCTCTGAGAGCCTGCAGGGCTGGGGTAAAGGCAGAGCAGCGGGGTTTGGCGGCACTCCGTTCTCTGTGGTCCCGTTCTGTGCCATAACAGGGCAAACCGGTCGACACTAGCGTTTAAGATAAAGCGACGTGCAGTGCTGTGGTCAGTAAGCATGATAGCGCCGTTTATTAGAGCTTTTAAAGCCCCCCCCCCACCACCACCACACACTCACACACACAGACTCCGCCCCTCCCAATGCCCTGCCTCACAACCGCCCACCTCACCTTCCTCCTCAACACGTGAGCACGATAAACATTCAAAGCTGCAGTGACCGCCATCAGGACCTGTCCAAATGGTCGCCCTCGGTCAGCTTTGCATATTGATGATACACAGTGTCTCCAGTGAGGCCGCGCCACGTGCTCAGTGAGGCTGATAAAAAGAATCGAAATCCTAAAGATATACCTCTACAAGAAACACATTCTAGCTCACAGTTTATTTGAGAAAGTAATATAACATATTAAATGTGCCAAAATTTCTGCCACATTTTATATTTGATATTTTCCAATTCTGAATTGTTACAATCAGCAGATAAACAGCGATTGTGCGGAAATGTGTTCACTGTAGAGGATGAGTTCACTTACTTACACTCAGAACATCAAACTAAATAAACCAGACCACGCAAACAACTACAGATACACAGACAGACAGACAGGTCTATAAATAGATAGATAGATAGATAGATAGATAGAAAGACAGACAGACAGAAAGGTAGACAGACAGACAGACAGATAGATAGATAGATAGATAGATAGATAGATAGACAAACAGACATACAGACAGATAGATAGATAGATAGATAGAAAGACAGACAGACAGAAAGGTAGACAGACAGACAGACAGATAGATAGATAGATAGATAGATAGATAGATAGATAGATAGATAGACACAGATAGATAGATAGATAGATAGATAGACAGACAGACAGATAGATAAATAGATAGATAGATAGATAGATAGATAGACAGACAGACAGACAGACAGATAGATAGATAGATAGACAGATAGATAGATAGACAAACAGCTAGATAGATAGATAGATAGACAGATAGATAGACAAACAGACATACAGACAGAGAGACAGAGAGATAGACAGACAGACAGATAGATAGATAGATAGATAGATAGATAGATAGATAGATAGACAAACAGATAGATAGATAGATAGATAGATAGATAGATAGATAGATAGATAGATAGACAGATAGATAAATAGATAGATAGACAGAGAGACAGAAAAACAGTTAGACAGACAGTTATGTAGATTTTGTTTCATGATGAGTTCAGCACCTGGACTCTTCTTCTGGGAAGCCATACTGTTGTGATAGATGCAGTATGTAGTTTATCATTGTCTGGTTGAAATAATCAAGGCCTTCCCTGAATAAGACATTGTCTAGATGGCAGCATATGTTGCCAAAACCTATATATTTTGTTCAGCATTAATGGTGCCTTCACAGATCACATGTGCACTAATGCTTCCCCATACCATCATGGATGCTGACTTTTGAATTGTGTGCTAATAACAAGCTGGGTGGTCTTTAGCCTGGAGGATGCAGTGTCCATTATTCAGAAAAAAATTTAAAACTTTGATTCATTGGACCACAGGACACTTTTCCACTTAAATCCAAATCTTAATCTTAAATCTTAAATGGATTCTCTTGGCCCAGAGAAGTTGGTGGTGTTTCTGGATCCAGTTTATATATGGCTTCTTCTTTGCATGATACAGCTTTCACTTGCATTTGTGGATGGCATGGCGAACTGTATTCACAGACAATGATTTCTGGAAGTGTTCCTGAGCCAGTGCAGTGATGTCCAGTACAGAATCATGCCTGTTTTTATTTTATCTTTATTAGAGCTTCAGTTTCTCAAAGAAATCTGCAGTGATGTTTTTCCACACCTCCAAGGTTCATCTTAGAGTTTGGTTGATAAGTTTCTTTCATTTTCAAGTACCCAAACACATTCAGTGATGTTGAGGTCTTGACTTTTGGGTGGTCAGTCCATTGTTCAGCTTCTTTGTATGATGTGTCTGTCTGCTTTTCTCAGTGAGGCTTCTTGACAGCTACACATCCTTTCAGACCCATAGTGCTGAGTTGTCTTCTCACAGTGGGAGGATGGACAGAAACACCTGTAGATTTCTGTAGTTTTCAGATCTGAAGCAGCTTGATTTTCTCCTCTCTGTCAAAGATGAAAGCTTTAAGTGCTGTTTATCTGATGGGGACAGTGTTGATGGTTTTGCATGGTTGTTCTCTGTAAGTTCAATAATTTTTGAAAATCTCCAGTTTTTGGAGTTTTGGAATCTCTCGTTTTTTTTCACCAATTCTCTTTTGACTTTCCCCAGTGGATTATCTTAAATCTGATTGAATAATTCAGTACTAATAATTTAATACTAATAGTACTTTTGACTGACTGGAAATTAAATAAATGAAGGGGTGGTCTCTGACATTTTTCAGTTTTTGACATAATCTGAAAATGCCTGTTGCCCTGTACATTGTGTGTACATTTCGTGAAGAATGAACCAAAGAAAACAGCCCAAAATTACTTGGACAAAGTCTGGTTCCATTGACTTACATTGAAAGTAAGGTATATTTTTTCCTTCTCCGGTGAAGTTATCATTTTGGAGATTTTTGAGGTCTTCTTCCGACAACAGTGATATGTTCTATGAGGCATGTCAAGTAACTATCTTCGCATAGATAAACCCAAATGCGCTGTGATGCTGTTCTGAAGCTGTAAATTAGGCAGCATAGATCAAGATCACGGCTATGAAGGTTGTCTTAAAACCTTTCCAACAAACTTCCAATAAAGTGCTAATGTTAGTAGTAGCCGGCTTCTCTTTTGCCCTCACTCCAAAATTATTGGCCGTGTCCTGGTGTCAAGCCATGGAAATAACAAGTGTGAATTAATTCTCCAGCCCAATATTTACACTGTACCAAAGTACCTTTGATCTGGGCGCCGAGGGCCAGATTGGAGGCGACTTGCGGGCCAAAGGTGGGATCACTTCTGATGTTCATCGCCGAATTGGTTTTTTGCACCTGGGCCTGGTGAGGCTGAATGGAGTTGAACGCATGCAAACAAATGCTTTTGTTCGGCGGGACAAAAAGCCCCTTTCCCAGCTCCGGGCTCGTTTCTCAGACACTGTCACCATTGTTTCCCCTCCGTTGCTTCTTGTCACTCTTCTTGTCGAAGTTTAATGAGGGACAGCAAAGCTCTCGCAGGGCCCATTTCTCACTTCAGCGGCTTTGCTAACACTTCCTAATGAGGCCGAGGGAGTATGGTATGGCTGCAGGCGCGACTATCAGGGCCCATCATCACTCTCACGGCCCGTGCCGGCACTTCAGCTATGTTCCGACTGGCGTACTGTGTTATACTGGTGGTTCTAGCTAGTGCATTTTACCAAGAACCCAAGATTGCCAATACTTAAATGTATGCTAATAAAGCTGCTGCAGTTGATGCACAATTCTGTGCCATCCCTACTAGAAGAAATGCATTTGGTTTCATGATGCTGAAAAGCTTGTGACTTGGACCATTTGTTGGCCATTAGCTAGTTAATAAACACGCTGTGGTGTGAGCGTAAACATTACACAGAAGACATACATTACTGCAATGAAAATCAACACTCAACAAGTGAATGGAACTGTGACTTATGTTTGCTGTTTCTGAACAAACGTGTGGTTTCTGAGTAAATGTTATGGAATTCCTGGCACAGAAAGTCTACACAGATGTTTATTGTTGTGCACTAGAATTTTGTAGTCCCACATGAACATGCATTGAATTCTGCTACATTTGATGCTGCGAGCTAATGGTGTGGAACACACTAACTACCAAACAGAATTCTATACTCTAGCAAGGGTTAAAATTCCAGTTAATCTCTCACAACCCCACTGACTAATGTGCAGAAGGGAAACCAAATACAATAATAAGCTGTTATAAGATGTTGAGTACTCTAGAAGGGTTATGGGATGAAAAATACTAAGCAATTAGCATAAATTTTGACACAATAAAAGGGTAGTGTTATTTTTTTCCCCAGCAATATCCTAACAAATCCCACATTCTGCACTAGGGCTAGCTAGTGATATCACCTTTGTGCTAGGATTTGCTATTGGCTAATAGTGTCCAACTTCCTGTGCTGGGATTGGCTAGTAGTATCATCTCTTGCACTAGCATTAGCTATCACCTCCTGTGCTGGGATTGTAGTATCATCTCTTTCATTAGCATTAGCTATCTCGTCCTGTGCTAGGATTGGCTAGTAGTATCATCTCTTGCAGTAGGATTAACTCTCATGTCCTGTGCTGGGATTGGCTAGTAGTTTCATGTCTTGCACTAGGATGGGGTAGGACCTTCTGTGCTAGGATTGGCTATTGGCTAATAATGTCACGCTTCCTTTGCTGGGGTTGGCTAGTAGTATCACAATCTTGCACTAATTTTGTGTAGGTGTTTCGCACCTATTGCGCTAACCTTAAACCAGCATGAATTTTGAGCTTATTAATTGGCTACTCTGAGATTGGCTAGTATTTTTCTGATGAGGTAAACTTTTCCTGCATCCTGTGCTGGGATTGGCTAGTAGTATCACATCTCTTGGGCTAACATTGGCTAGTATAGGATTGGCTAGTATTTTCCTGCCTGGGGTAGTTTCCATCTTACTGCATTGGGATTAGCTAGCAGTAGTTCATGTCCTGCAATAGAATCAGCTAGTAATACTGCATTACTGACACATTATGTCATGTTCTCTGTTGTTGCTTGAATGAGCAAACACATTCCATCTCTATGACTGGTTAATATTATCCTACCACCTGTACTGGGATTGACTATTACTAAAACAACTTCCTGTGCTTAGATTGGCTCACTGTGTCTTGGTTCCTGAGCTAGGATTGGCTAGTATATCCCTTATCTTTTGCTAGAACTAGGCCAATAGAACTGGCTAGTGTTCATTCTTGCTGCACTGGGAATAGCTTATGCTAGAACTGGCTAGTTGTATTCCACCACCTGCGCTTGTAGTTCATGCCCACAAGCAGACTGACGATTGGTCTTTTAGGGCCTCTTGCAGGGCCTATTTCTCACTTCAGTGGCTTTGCTAATACTTCCTAATGAGGCCGAGGTGAGGAGGGAT